TTTCACTGCTACTATTAGGTTTGATACAAAAGTCTCGAGACACACGGAATCATGTTTTAAACCGTCCAGTAATTCTTGAGGTCACCAAAACTGGAATACTTTGGTTAAGAACTGTTTCAGTGCCTGAAAAGGTGATATTCAGAGGGGGCGAGGTCAGGGAATAGGGAGGATGGGGAACGGTATTCCAGCCAAGTTCCTGTCACCTGGTCTGCGTGAAAGGCCGAGTGTTATCATGCAGGAGATGGACAGAAACCCTTCTCGGTCGCTCTTCTTCAATTGCATCGTCTATCCTTCAAGGGAGCAACTCGTTGAATAGCATTCCTTTCGAGCTCCAGAAACAGCATAGCAAAACCTTCCTCGGGTGCTGTCCTGCCTTGGGCTGCACGGGGGTTCTCCTTTTGAGAGCCAGACAGCGACCCTTTTTTGTTGCCACAAAGAACCAGCTCTCATCCGCCACCACCAGATCGTGCGGAATTTCCTTCCGATTGAGGGTGAGGAAGAGCGACTGGCTGATTAAGACGCTCTGTGACAGGATCGTTGGTTATTTGGATGTAGAATCTGTCGAACAGAAACTTCGTTGTAACTGTTCTCGTAGAAATGAGGAATGGCGTTGCTCTAATCGCACTTGAGAAGCTCCACCAGTTTCGCTCATAGCCTCCGGGTTCTTCTTCATTTCGCTGGGAAGTCGGTCATCATCGATAGCAACTGGTCGTCCGGAACGAGGATCGTCGCCGAGCATCGTATTTTTAGACTGAAAGCGCGCGAATAGACAAACGGACGCAAGGCTGCGAGGTCCTCTCCGAGTGCAGTGTTGATCGCGGCGCCATTCGAGAAGAGGATTGCTGGAAGTTGATCTCTCCGCAATTGCGACATGGTAAAAAGAGGAGCGCTTGGGGACTTTTTTGAGTACTAATAAATAAAAGGATAAAGCATTTGCCGTTGATCAATCCCTTTTTGGGATGCGGCACGCATTCTACTTCCATTTGTACATTCGTAGTGGCGTTTGAATGCGATGTGGCCTATACAATGACTTGCGGGGGCCAGCCGATGTACAAGTCAGTGTTTTTATCCTCCCAGACAAGTCTGGTACCAATTAACCGACCCCGGAGGGATGGAAGGCTTGGTTGGCCCGGGCGACTCACGACCCAGGATTTGATCCCCGGACCGCTCG